TCGGACCAGGACCAGGGCAAGGACTGGACCAGGACCGGGACCAGGACCAGACAAGGACCAGGATCGGACCAGGACCAGGACCGGACTGGACCGGACCTCGGTGTGACCCAGATGTGATCACATGTAGACAAACGGTGAGGGAAACCCACAGAGCCTTTGATTCTGAACCTGATGGCCCGGTTAGAACCCAAACCTAGCAGAACAAGTGGTTCTGAATGTTTGGAATTCCTCCAGGTCTGGAGCAGATGGTTCTGTCTGCCAGGCGGGCAGAGGAAGAGTTGGGTCGGTTCTGAACTCACCCCTGCTGGGCCCGATACAGCAGCTCCCTCAGAACCGAGCGCCTGAAGTGGGTCGGTAAGCTGCGGGCAGCGTTGTCCCTGATGAAGGCCTCCACCACGGCCTGGAAGCAGAACAGTTCAGACTGAGTCCCGGCCTGGCCCGGCCCGGCCCGGCCCGGCAGAACCCACCTGGTAGTCCTGGTTCCGGATCAGGCTGTGGATCTGGTCGTAGCGGGTCGTGTGCGTGTCGGCCGGGTCGCAGTCGCCGGTCAGAGCCTTGCAGGCGTTCCAGTAGCCGGCCAGGCGCTTCTCGTCCAGGTGGACGTGGACGGCCTGGTCCAGCTGGGACAGAGACAGGTTCTGGTTCCGGTTCTGGAGAACTGACCTCTGTGCGGCGGCCTACCTTCTTCAGGAGCTCCTTGGTCATCCTGAAGTGGTCCCGGGCCTTCTGATAGGCCGGCTGGTCCGTGCAGCCCCGCTGGAAGAAGATGGCTCCCAGGTCGTAGTGCACCTGGAACAGAGGTCAGAGGTCAACCCAGCCCCCCGGCTGGAGCGGCGGCAGCCGGGCCGTCGCTCACCTGGCAGTGCAGCTCGTCGGCGCTGATCCGCAGGCCGGCGGTGGAGGACTCGGTCTCTCCGTTGGCGGCGGCGGCGTCGGAGCCCAGCAGGTCCAGCGTCCGCAGCGTGTGGACGTAGAAGTCCTTCTTGAGGCGCAGCGCGGCGTCCAGGACGCTGACCGAGTCGGCCGCCTGCTCCTTCAGCTGACAGGAGACAGCCTGAGCTGCAGCCAGCAGACCCACACACTCATCACCGGCTACTCACCACCGCCAGGATGTTCTCCATCAGCTCCTTCTCCTGCTGCACCACGCTCAGCCTGCAGGGGGCAGCGTTTCAGCCTCATGTTCAGCATCATAATAAACAAACTCATGTCTTATTAGAGCAGCAGAACTTCACACTGAAATCATTTTAAGAAATCAGTTCATCTGTTCATTATTCTGACAATCGGATCAAAATTTGTGTTCTTTTAATCACTTCAATTAGTTTTAAACATTAAAAATAAACTAAAAATGCACATCATTCATTTTAAAATAAGAAAAACATTTTCTTGGCTAAAGCTTTCAGTGAACCTTTGACCGTTCAGTGCCTAACATGTCAATTACTAAGGTTAATTAACTCTGGACTAAATGGTTAATAACTGGTGATTAACGGATGGATTTACAGGTGAGGCTGAAGCTGCCAGCGAGAGGCAGAACAGATTTATGGGTTGGTTTCATCTCAGATTAAAACGTTTCAGTTTACTGGGCAGTTTTGGCTTCGTTGCTGCTTTGCTTCTTTAGACTTTTGACAATCCGCATTTAGCCATTCTCAAATAAATAAAGTTTTATTCTTAGGAGAACTTCACAAAAAAATGTAATTAAAACGAGGAATGCTGAGAACCTTGAAGTTTGGTTTTAAAACTAAGGAAGAATTTCATCTTTCACCAGATCAGCATCAAATCACCATCAGGATTTGGTTCTTTCAGACCTGGATGGACCAAACGTTTCACATCTTTTATGTGTCAATATGATTTATTGTCATAATTTAAAAACTAAAACAAATATCTTATTGTGGTCCTGATACTCTGAGGTTTAGCTGCTGCAGTAAGAGATGAGTTTAATTACTAAGTCGTTACCAGGGAGCCAATCAGCTGCAGATTCAAATGTTCCTGAAGTGAACAGCATCACTATAAATGATCTGCTGCTTTACTCAGATTCTCTAAGTGTCAGTGAACGCATCATCTAACCAAACACGCTGCAGCTGAAGGGTTTTGTTCATCGGTTCTACCAGCAAAAACAAACCGTCACTGAGTGACAGGAAGCGGCGCGGCGGCACTTACATGTTCATCTGATGAGGTCCTGGTTTGTTCTGCTTCTCTGGAAAGCTGCTCAAAACGATGGTCCTGATGGCCCTGCACCAGAACAGCACACATTTCATCTGGAACCACGACAGACGTCCGACACACATGCCCTGCAGCGGGCAGGGGCGGAGCTATGGGCGGGCCCGGATAGGAGGCAGAATATGACTTTAGAGATCCAAGTCTGTATCACGTCTGATGAGAGCTGGAGAAGGTGGGCCCTCTCCTGTTGAGTGTATGGAGACTATACAATGGGGCCCCCCAGTAGATTATATAGCAGGCTGCTCCAGCCATTGTTTACTCCTGGCTGCTAAAACCTTTACAAGACATAGTGGGTGTAAAATATTGAATAAAACGTTGTGCTACATGACTGGCTTTATTTTCACTCTTACATTTAACTTTATGACACACAAATTTACAAGTTGATCGCCGATTGTCTCCAAGTGTATTCTGGGTAAAACATGTCACCAACCATCCAAACGTCATCATCAGTCAGACACTTAGAAACGGGGCTAATGGCCGGGCCCCTTAAATCGGGCCAGGGGGCGGGGCTAATGTCCGGGCCAGGGGGCGGGGCTAATGGCCGGGCCCCTTAAATCGGGCCTGGGAGTGGGGCTAATGCCCCAGGGGCCGGGGCTAATGCCCCAGGGGCCGGGGCTAATGCCCCAGGGGCCGGGGCTAATGGCCGGGCCCTTTATATCCAAAATAACAAAGCTCATGAAAACATATTTTTGTGAAGTACTAATAAAAGCCACTCCTATTTGAGGTAAAATTACTCCAATCTACCAAATAGTATCCTGTTGATATGAAACTCGTACCAGCAGTTCAGAGAACATGTGTGATTATGTAAAAAAAAGTTATTTCACTCTTAGCTCCCCTCCTGCATTAATAGACTAAACAGCGTGATATAAAATGTCCTACATAACGGGCCTCTGTTTTGTAATTCTTTAAGCTATTATGGTGTTAAAATAATTTCAAACCATTAGCAGAGAGCATTTTCATCAGACACCGACTGTAAAACGTTCGACTCCTGTCTCAATAAAGGAGTAAAAACCGTATTTATTTCACTTCATCTGTGAAATGAAACCCACCGTTTTAGGGCTGACATGGTTAAGAAACGTGATAAAGTTACAAATATCTTTAAAAGCTTGCGGTCATATTCAGTCCGAATGTCATCAATATGCGGGAGTTTAGCGATGCGCCATGCGTTTCTCCTCACCAGCGGTTGTAGATGATGACGGCCATGGCGGTGGTGGGCGGCAGGGTGGACAGGTCCAGCTCCACGTGCTTCACGCCGGCCGGAACCTTGCTGACGCACAGCAGCTCGTTCAGCAGCATGTTGACCACCGGGATGGTCAGCCTGGCCAGGAGGAACAGAACCGCAGGCCGTCAGCCAGAACCAGACCAGAACCGGCCCCAGAACCAGAACCAGCACGTACCCTCTCTCCAGGCTGTCCAGGTCCCACTTCATGTGAGCGGCGACTTTCAGCGCCAGCAGCTTCAGGGTCCGGTTCCTGCGGTTGTCTGCCGGCGGCTGCACCTGGTTCTGTTCGTTCACCGACGGCTTGGAGGCCTGCTCCAGGAACTGGACGATGAGCTGGACCGGCGCCGGGTCTGTTGGACGGGACACGGCGCCGAGCGTGAGCCTCGGACCCGGCAGAACCAGAACCGGGCCGCTGCGGCGCGGAGCACTGACCTGGGCTGGCTTTCTGCAGGTGTGTCTCCAGCAGGCCGCCGTCCAGCAAGAACTCGAACCAGGACACCTGCAGCGGCGTGCCGGGCCGGCTGCCGGTCACCGCGGCGACCCGGTCCGCCGCCTCTGCGCTCATCCCGCCCTGCTGGGACGACCAACACATGGGGATGACCTGGGAGGAGTCCGGTCCGACCCGCAGAACCAGAACCAGCAGACTGGAGGGAAAACTCATCGCTACAAACAACCGGCCCAAAGTAAAACGGTTCCTTTAAAGTTTTTGCCTCACATGTTGCCTCCGTCCCTTAAATACGGACTGTCCCATGTTTGGCTGTTAAATGTTGCTACGGGACGCGATTTGTTCCGTATTTCTATAACTGACCGATAGACTCGCCTATCACACACATATCAACACTAAGTGTAACAACAATGACCAAATTAAAACAGGAAATATTAAGGTCAGCTAAATTGTTGTGGCGGGACGTAAAAAGGACCCCAGAACGCTACGGACCGATGCTGTTGCCTAGAGACGGACACTACGCAGCCGCAGTGAGCTGCTATCAACCCGTCTTTTTAAAACGTCCTCAGCCCGATACGCCACCGTCCTTAGAACCAAAACCTCGTAAAGATACAGACGTGAGAGGGAAGACGCAAATCCCAGAGTAAATAATGTTAGTGAGGATGAATACAGGCAATCAAGATCAAAAAAAGTGTCCATCGTGGCGCGGTGCTGCTGTATGATAGACAGAATGGATCAGGAGAGGAACTGCAGACCCATCAGAACCTACAGAACCAGAAATCAGCATCTCTTCATCCCTCAGTCATCTCCGGAGGCTGATATGGGAGAACATTTTATTATTCAGCTTCTTATTGTGCTTTTAGTCGACTGTTAGGAGTTGATTATTTGCTTATTTAATGTATCATAATACAAATGGTGATTTAGAGAACAAATCATACCGAGAGATTAACAGTGAATACATAAATATTTCCTACTTTTAAAAGGTTTGTTAGAGCTTTCTGTTTGTTTTATTAAGAAATGTTGACATCTTTTATGAATTCAGTGTTCAGTGGTCATTTACTGTATAATTAATGTCAGACACAGACCTGCAGCCCAGGGGCGGATCTAGATGGGGGCCAACGGGGTACAGAAGAAATTATGCTAAATAAATGTCTTTTGTTAATGCTCAGTGGTGGATTTTTTAACCTTCACAATTTTACTTTAACATTGAATTAAAAATTATAGTGCTGCACCTTTAGCTGCTGTGTAGAATCAGACTTTCCATCTGCCAGGGATCTGCAGCCTGGATCTCTGGAGACACAAGTGGCTTTTTGGCTCACTTCATATATCAAATGATGAAATATTGCTCTGTTTTTTTGTTTCATTTTTTTAAGTGTCCCCATGAAAAAGCACCGACTACCCCTAGTGGTAAATTTGTCCTAGAACCAGCCTCCAAATCTATCTCCTTATATGTATAAATATTTTATTAATATTCTTTACAATACTAGAATTTTCACATAACTTGTACTTTTGGCTGTCTGAGGACACATTTTGAATATTAAATCAGGTGTTATGATCAGTCGCTCAGTACTTGAGCCGTTTACATTTTACACTTGCTTAATTAAACATGTTTAAGATATGCTCTGACTGGAGAACAGTTTTGGAGTACTCTATGTATGAACGGTTGCTCTCTGGATCACTTTTTAAAAACAAAAACATTGCCATGAAATATTATCCATCACTGCAGCGGACGTCCCACCCCATGAGAGTCGGGCGACACGCCGTGAGGGGGCGTCCCTTATTTGGATTTCTGAAAGGTGGCAGCCCTAATATTCATGCATAACTGTTTTTAATAACTGCACACTCACTCATTTGGTGCATTATTTTATTGGGGCCTGCCCATAGCAATGCACGGCAGGCACCGATTGTTCTACACCCAATAGAATGTCTCTTTATTATTTATTATTCTTCCGTCACCGTTAATGCGGCTCGTACCGCTGCAAGAAACCCCACAAAAAAAGGTATCAAAACGTGCGGCTTGATCCCGGCATCCGGGCTATTTTTATTGGGGTTCTGTGTAAAAATGGTGACATAAATTGAGAAAAACGAGAAAAGTTTAGACTGAGTGTCTCACAGAATCACTAAGATTTCTCTCTGAAACACACACACAGCACAGTGGAGGTCTGACTCCAAAACTCTTTTTAACTCCCCCTCACAGGCACGAATATCAGCCTATTGATCTCAAAGTTGGTCATGATATAGATACACATGCCTGCTCCCGTAAAATGTTTTCAAAATTTTCCTAGGGCTTATGGTTTTTTGTAAGGGCCCTGAGAACGACGCTGGGTGTCTCACAAGTATAGAAACCAGCATCTTGTCTGACAGAGAGAGCCAGCCCAGGTGCAGATCATTAATTACCATAGCAACGTGTCCCAGAGAGAGGCAGTGAGTATTCCCACAGCGCTGAATCAGATCTCACAATGCATTGTGGGAAGAATACATATTTCGTGTGACTTTTCATGTTTTGCTTACATAAAATTATTACTTGTCTGAATTTTTGAGTGTAAAATCCTTAGAATGAAAATTGAATTTATTTTTAAAAATAAAGAATTACCAACTTTCTTCATGTTTTTTTTTTATTTTGAACCATGAGTGAGAACAAAATGTGCGAAGCTTATATTCGTCGGACTCGGATTGAATTTCACTCACCTGGGATTTAGCCATTACATTTTAATGTTGACTCAGTTCATGTATATTCCTATGATATACTTGACAATACTTTAAGATATGTATGTTAGACCAGCATGGATCTAT